GCGTTCTCAGGTATGGGGTTAGACAATGATTTCAGATTTATAAATGGTGCATTGTCGTTCACATCAGTTATATCAATAATAACTTTTGCTTCTGAAGACAGGCCATAACCGTCTTTTGCTTCAACAGGCAATTCGTATTTCGACCCCTCTTCATAATCGATATCACCTGTAACAAGAATTTCTCCAGTTTTGGGATCAAGTGAAAAAAGCTTTTCTAATTTATCAGAAGGTCGACTAAATTCATAAGTAACCTCTCCATTAACGCCCTCATCTGCATCTGATGCGTTTACTCTGATAACTGGGGTTTTCAGTGGTGAGTTTTCCGGTATACTGGCTCTATATACGGCCTCTGTGAACACGGGGGCGTTATCATTAGCATCAAGAACAATTACGTGTATGACCACTGTCCCTGATTTCCGAGGGGAGCCACCATCCATGGCTGTGAGCAGTAATTTCATTTCCTGCTTCTCTTCTCGGTCTAACTCCGTATCTAAAACCAGCTCACCGTATTTACTGCCAGAACTTGTCGTCTGAATGCTGAACACAAAGTGAGCGTTTTCTTGTAAAATGTAGCTTTGAACGGAATTTTGACCTATATCTGCGTCATGTGCTCTATTAATGCGATACCTGGCTCCTTTGTCCGCTGATTCTGTAATTTCCAGCTTTATAATATCTTTCGGAAAGATTGGTGCATTGTCGTTTATGTCCTGCACCTGCAGGGACAACCGGTGCAGCTCCAACGGATTCTCTAACAGCAAGTCGAATTTGAGAACACACGAAGGCCTTTCTCCACAGTGCTCCTCTCGGTCTATTCTCTCCGCAACGAATAAATCTCCGCTTCTCTGGTTTATTCCACAATACTGTCTTTCGCTTCCTTCCAAGTCAACACGAGGTTTTCGAGCAGACAGTCGACCCAGATCCAGCCCGAGATCTTTAGCGATATTTCCAATAACAGATCCGCGTTTCAGCTCCTCTTGTACGGAATAGCTCAGATCTCCGTTTGCGTATTGCGCCATAACAAAGAGAAACACAAAACTGAGGCTTTGACAAAGACTTCGGCTCTGCATCATCCTGAGAAAGCACTACACAGTTTAAAACACGCTATTTGAACCCTTAAGAAATACGTCCCTAGATCAGTATATGAGCCTTTCAAGCAACTGTCGATGCTGTTGATGACTAGATAAAGCAGTGTGCTCGTTCTGATGGGTGGTGTGCAACATGGGTTCAACACTAAGTCCATAGCTGGTGTATAGTGACACCGTGAGTGCAAAGGATATATAATAATATCAGAAAGTATTTTTAAATGCCTTTTCTGTTGTTGTTTTTGTTGTTGTTGTTTTTTTGACAAAGTGGTTGTTCAAAAGTAAACTTTAATAAAATCGTAAGAAAGTGTAATAATGCGCAATTTTTATTTTTATTTTACTTTGCTATCTATTTATTTATTTTGTGCTATATGTTTAATTCAACGGCGATGCTCATATCATGTGTTACAAGGTTTTGAAAATAATGTCTCTCTAAGGTGGTCCTCTTAAAGAATGCGATAATCATAGAAAACTTTGACGTGCGATACAACATTTTCAGCAGATCATTTCCTCTAGTTTTAATGTAAGGCATTTCAAAATCACATCGAAGTCAAAAACTCTCCAACCCTCTTTAACACTTTCTCTCCCTCTCTATGTCTTGCAACAATTTTTCTTGCCTCCCCCCCCCAAAAAAAGTTCCAATAAATTTCCAATGACAAGTTAAAGAAAATGTTTAACCGATATCACCGACGGCCACGACTATGACCTAACAGATAATTAAAATGAACGATACATTACAAACTGACCTAAACGAGGGCTATTTTGGTGTTTATGTTTCACTCCATATAAAACGTAAAAGAGATGTTTACATTATGATTCCTGAGGGATCTTAAATAGTAACAGACAATTATAAACATTCAGAAAAGCGCAGTTAACGGCGTAGAAAACAAAATAGACATGTAATACTTCAGTTACAGACGCTTAAACACTAGGCCGCCGATAACCATTTTACTTCAGTCACTCCAATGATATGATCTGTTTTCCTAATAATAAAAGGTAATTTATTTAAAAGACAAACTGCAACACAATAAATGAGGCACATATGTGTTGGTGAAAATAACTTCACTGTAATCTAAAGTGTTTTCAAAATGGAAAACAAATCTAAAAATCCAGAAATTTTTTCCTGAATATTGATACTCAAATGGAAGAAATTTTGAAAGATGATCCATACAGTAATGTTTAGTTTAATTGAACACAGGACTGTTTTATGACGTTCAAACCGAAAATGTTTAGACAAGAGGTTATGAACTGACATAACTAACAGTACTGTCATAAGAGAAATACAAACAACAGGAGGGAATGTCAGAGTATTTTTGTTTTTAAAGGTTTTATTATTCATATAATAATCAGCTAAGAGTGTTTATATTTCTGTTCTGTACTCAACCAGCTGCATATTTTAATTGCTGGCTCCCTACTCTATAACGGAAACTGTTTGCCTTCACATTATCAGTCTTTGCCTTCACATTGTCACTGTTTGCCTTCACACTAGCAGGAAACCGCCACCCACGAGTAAGAAACAACCTTGTAGAGAACACGAAGTTTTTTGATAAACCACACCTGTTTTCTTGACAAGATAAGGATGATATTTCCTTTTTTGTATGCTTCATGATGTGTATAAATAAAGCCAGACTGCACCAAGGAGGTGTGTGAGTCTCTCCCTGAGTCTCTCACCCGTGCACGTTTAAAACTGCTCTAAGTGTGAGTGTAAGTCTGAGTACTTGATAATAGAATATCTTTAACAATATAATTAATTAGTAATGAACTATCACACCACGCACATTTAGAACATGTGAAAGACACAGTGAAGCGTGCCCAAACTGCTAACGGAACTTACCCAAGGTATTTTTGTTTACTCTGGCATGTGATATGTTAGTTAAAATAAATATTTAAAAAAGACAAGTGCAAGAAAAATAGATTGATTGTGTTCATAAAAGTACTTTCTGCATCGCTGCAAGACTGTCAGGAAGACAGAAAATGAATATAAAACGCCTGTTCCTACCTCTGGTGAAGGATTGCAGTCGCCGAATACATCAGTAAAGTCTGATGGACTTTTCTTCAGAGTCTGGTCAGCAGGCAGCGTGTTGTCATTGTATGATGTCACAAACTTAAAGTCACTGGTTCTTGAACCTGTGGTCAGGTACGCGTCATAATTGTAAGTGCTGCGTAAAGTTCCTGTGCCATCAACATCTGCGTAATTAGGAGGGAGATAACCGCTGGGGATGGCAACTGCTCCATCAAACAACAGTCTGGGCTTTCTCCTGCGACAAAACCTCAAACCCAGGATGATGATGATGAAAGTCAGAAAAAACGTGGACACAGACACCAGCGCGATGATCAGATAAGAGGTCAGTTTGGAATTGCTCTCATTATAAGACAGATCCTTCAGTTCTGGCACCTCAGCCAAGTTATCAGAAATAAGTAAATACATGGAACAGGTGGCAGACAGAGAGGGCTGTCCGTTATCTTTCACTGCCACTACAAGGTTCTGTTTCATGCTGTCAGATTCAGAAATGTCCCGCTGTGTCCTGATCTCTCCGCTGTGGACACCAATAGTAAAAAGTCCCGGATCAGTGGATTTGACTATTTGATAGGACAGCCAGGCGTTCTGTCCGGAGTCCGCGTCCACCGCGATCACTTTGG